AACCAATAACACATGCTGGAGGGGCTGAGGGGGAAAAGGAACACTTCTCCACTGCTGGTTGGAGTGTAGACTGGTGCAACCACTGTGGAAATCAGTATGGAGATCCTCAAAAATTTGGGATTGGAAATTCCATTTGACCCAGCCATGCCCTTTCTGGGTATCTTCCCAGAATTAAAAACATTGTACCACAGCAATACATGTGCACCCATGTTTATAGCAGCACAATTTGTTATAGGTATACTTGGAAACAACCCAAATGCCCTTCACCTGAGGAATGGGTAAAAAAGATGTGGCCTTTTTATGCAATAGATTACTACTCAGTCATAAAGAAGGATAAACTGGAGACTTTTATATGTAAATGGATACAACTTGAGACCATACTTATAAGTGAAATAAACTAGACTCACATTGTCAACATCGTATTGTCTCCCTAATGTGAGAAGCCAAAAGAGTAGATAAGATCCAAAATGTACAATAGATATTCTGAAATGGCAAGAAATTGTTTCAAAAGAAAGAGAAACTGGGATGAGGGAAAGGAGAAAAGAGGGAAAGAAAAGAAAGGCTTGTGCTAATATTGTTTGGACAATTAAATGTCTGTATCTTGTACTCTGAGCAGCTATTTTAAAGATAACAATATGCAATATATTAACCATTGTTTTCTCCTATTACCTTGTTTTGAATTTTTTTCTCTTTAAAATTGAAAAATGAAGACTTTTGCCAATCCCCCTTAAAGAAAGAAATCATCAAAGATGAAGAATACATTGTAGGGAAGGGGTAGGAGGATAGGAAACCTGCAGGCTGAGGAGCTGTGGTGGAAAAAAAAGATGGAAGTACAGAATAAAGTAACACATGGGGTATAAAATAACCTCGATAAACTCATTTTACATTCACTACTTTATTTGTGTACAATAAAAGGCTTGCCAGGGAACTAATTCCTTTTTTCTTTGTAGGCATCAAAACAAGGACATCTTGTGGGAGAACCAAAAGGCAATATAGGGAAACATTTAAAACTTAGAAATCAAGTTATTTTCTTATTTTGATGAAAATGTCTTCATAACCACAAGAATGAAAATCATGTACAAATCCATGGTTTTCGTGTGACTGAAAGTTGGCAAAAACACTATGTCTAAATTTAGTTGTCTTTACTCCTGCCTGGGCATCCAACCTAGCTGATGATGTCTGGATGAGCAATAAAATAATGAACTATTTGATTCATAAATTATTATCTATCTTTTCCATAAAACATTTTTGTCTTTAAAGTCATAATTTGTGCTGTTATAAATAAGATTTTCACATCGTGTTCTGTTAACATTTATACCATTCGAGACCATCTTCTTTGAGTTAATTTAGCTCTTTGATAATTTTTTCTGTGCTCATATTTTTAAGGCAAAAATAAGTGTAGTTCAGGCTGGCCTTGAAATCACTATGTAGCCCAGGATGGCCTTGAACTTGTGCTGATCCTCCTGCCCTAGCCTTCTGAGTTACAGAAGGTTACAGACATGTGTGGGCCATGATAACTTTTTAAAAATCAATTTCAACTTGAGAAATCTTCACTCTGCTGAGACAGCTGAAATAAATCATGAAATTTATTACATAATACATGGGGTATAAAATAAACTCTATAAACTAATTTAGTTATACATACTCAAGCATGTATTGCATGTAAGTTATAACTGTAGAAAATGAATTAATTTGATCACGTAAACTACTTACCACTGTATCATCTTGTACTCCATCCTTTAAATTCACACAATAATAAAAAGAACCATATCATACACCGATGTCCACAAGCTGAGGGTGATGGTACATGCCTGTAGTCTCACCAATCTGGGAGGCTGAGGCAGGAGCATTGCAAATTTGAGCCCAGCCCAGGCAACTTAGAAACTTAGTAACACCCTGTTTCAAAATAAAAAATAAGGGGCCAGGGTAGCTCAGTGTGAAGGCCATGGGTTCAATCCCTAGTACTGGGAAAAAAAAAAAAAGAGAATAGTGTCTTAGTTACTTTTTCTTGTTGCAGAGGCAAAAATAGACAACATGCAAAGTTACAGGAGGAAAAGTTTATTTTGGCTCAGTCTGCAGAGATTTCAGTCTATAATCGGCTGGTTCCAAGGCAGGGAGGCATGGAAGAGGCGCATCATAGAGGAGAAACAGTTTCTGGCAGGCAGAACACAACGAAGGCATCCAAGCAGCAAGTGATAAATGACAACCATCCTTCCATCTCTTATATCTTACCTAAGCTACCCACCCCAGGGTGGAAACAAGAACCAGTGTCATACATATATGTATGGGTAGGTCACCTTCACACCCTTAATCCTATCACTGTATCTTTGATCCTAGCATCACACACTTATTTTTTATTTTAAAGAGAAAAAGAAATGAAACAAAATTTCCAAACAAGATAATAGGAAAGTAACAATGGTTAATACATTGCACATTGTTACCTTTAAATTAGTTAGAGTACAAAATATAGACCTTTAGTTGTCCAAACAATATTAGCACAAATCTTTCTTTTCAATGAACTAAGAGAAATTAGTACTATAACTATCTTAACTATCATATATATATATGCTATATCATATATATATGTGTATAATTTTGCTTTTCTTTTTTCCTTTGCCCATCTTGAAGTTTCTTCCCACTTTACAATATTGGTTGTACATTTTGGATCTTATCTACTCTTTCAGCTTCTCACATTAGGGAGACAATATGATGTTTACACATGGGTATCTGGTTTATTTCACCTATAAGTACGTCATCAAGTTGCATCTATTTACCTATAAAAATCTCCATTTCGTCCTTCTTTATGGCTGAGTAGTAATCCATTGTATAAAAAGACCACATCTTTTTTTATCCATTCCTCACTTGTTGGGCATTTGAGTTGTTTCCAAGTATAGCTATTACAAATTGTGCTGCTATAAACATGGATGCACATATATTGCTGTGGTACAATGTTTTTAATTCTTCTAGGAAGATATCCAGCAAGGGAATAGCTGGGTCAAATGGGACCTCTAATCATAGTTTTTTTTTGGAATCTCCATACTGATTTCCAGAGCATCACACACTCTAAATCCATCCACCTCTGAACAGCCCCACCAATGACTGCATAAGGTTTTGGGGAGAACATCTAGACAAAAGTCCTAAAAAACAGACTCTGAATTTAACTTTAGGAAGCTGACGTTTAGGGCTGTCTCCTAGTTAAGAATAAAGCAGTACATGAAGACAAAATTTCCAATGGTCCTCAGGCAATTTTTGTTCTGGCAGAGTAAATATCCCCGGATCATCAACTGTGATATTTAATAGAGGAGTGAAAGGAAGTGGGAAAATGTATCTAGAGAAGCAAACAGCAAGCCAAACATTTCCATTCTGACCATTTTCTTGTTGTTTCTGAAGTAGCTCAGTTGTTAGAACTTGTGAGAAGAAAGGTCATTTTGGAATGAGGGATATATACTGCCTTACACAAAGCTGGAGTGAATAAATGTAATTATTATGTAGTGCAAATATATACCAATAAAAGTGACATGTGGTGAGTGGACAGAAGTTGGTGTGCTGGGAGCAGATGATAAATGAACTGGCACCTGCATAATGGGGTCACTACAACAGTCAGTGGGTAGGCGGAGTTGAGAAACCAGATTAGTTCTAATGTTTACAGAGCCCCCTGGATGAAAGTGACCACCAGTCAGACAAACTGATACACCTGGTATCAATGCTCTTCTTTCAGGATCCAGGGCGGAACTTTCCAGAATTGCCTTAAACCCAACTCGGAGACTGACAGGCATTTCCCATTAAGCACTCAACTAGAATATTTTGAAAGAGTAACCCAATGAGTGTGCTGTCAAGTGTTCATTTATAATTAAGTTTCAGAAATAATTTTTATTATCATGAAATAGGCTTAAGAGTCATAAAACAAAATTTACTTTGATGAATTTTATGTCTCTGGAAAGAGGCCAATAAGATAATGAGCAAGATATGCTCCTCTGCTACAATTTTAAAATAGCCAGGCATTGTGGCACATGCTTGTAATCCCAGCACGCGGGATGCTGAGGCAGGAGGATTGTTGCAAGTTTGAGACCAGCCTGGGCTAAAAAGTGAGCTCAAGTGCAGCCTGAGCTGCACAGCGAGACTCTGTCTCAAAACAACCAAAAAAAATTAAAAAAAAAAAATAAATTTTCCCTTTAAAATATATAAAATATGCCTTCTAAAAGCAAAGTGGTCTTAAGCAGTTATACATTTTAGGTAAAAATGCACCTATATAAAATTTAAAACAATTGGATGACTTCAGAAAAATCCAAGTGACAGGAAAGCTGCCAGGGAAAAATAATGAGCTTGCAGGAGAATTGTGACATTGTGTATTTGTAGTTTGGAGCATTTTATGAGTACTCTATCTTTTGTTCACAAGGAATTGTAACTCACATACCATACATTTTACTGATTAACAGTATACAGCTAACATACTGAGGCTACTGCACAGGAATAGGGTGTTAAACATATCATCGATCTGTATGGTTTCCTTTTTAAATGCAAAACCTTGAGGCTTAATTGTGCTAAAGAGGAAATGGAATTATGTATTAAATAATACTATAGGAACTCAACTTTTTTTCTTTCGAAATGTCTCATTAACCTTCACAGAACTGTATTTTTGCACCATCCTTGCTTTAAGGAAGCCAGTTAGAGATCTTTCCTCCTTTAGAAGTTTAAACGTGATTATAAAACCTCCCACTTCCTTTTACATTGTCAACAGCGTTACTTGATATTAATATAGGAACTAAGGCTGTCAGCGTTCTGATGCGTAACTTCACAAGTTTTAGAGTACTGGCAAGTGTATGGTAAAAATTTTACAACCTGTTTTGTTTTCTAATTCTTAATTATACCACAGAAGCCATTCTCATAGCTGTTTTTCATCACTGATGGTTATTATTAGGGTTTCAGGAAGTGATAATTCATCATGACTTTTTCCTTAACTGTTTAGAAACAAATGATAAATAACATATAGGAGTCAGGCAGACAGGAAAAAAAGTACCAACTTTATTACTGATAGAAGCTAGGCTTAGGTATTCAGCCACAAGGCTTGAATCTTGACTAGCTTTGGTATAAGTGCAAGTAACTGGTTTAAACAAAGGATACACTATTTTTCATCTAAAAGTCCAGGAAGTGTTGATCAGGTCAGTAGCATTTCTAGAGTACCAGATACTCCTCTCTATCTTGTTGATTTGCTAGGTATAACCATTTCCCAGGGTCATCTTAGAGTCCAGAATTGTTACCCCAGTTCTAGCCATCATGTATGTACTCCAGTTTAATGGAAAACAAAAAGGAAGGGCAACTTATCTCCACTAAAGGACATACTAATTCTGATTACATCTCATTAAGTAGAACACAAATCACTTAGCCACATCTAAATAAGAAAGTAAGTACTCTGGGCAGTCATACACCCAGAACAAAATGAGAATTCTATTATAAAAGGGGATACTGGTAGACAATTCAGGGTCTCTGCCACATTCCTGAATTAAACTTATGCAGGAAGGCAGAGGCAAGGCTGAACACCCACTGGCTTCCCTTCCAGGGAGGGGTAAGCTGCTTACCACACAGCAGAATTACCTAGAGGGTAAATTACTTGCAGAAGGTGAACCCAGAAGTGGGGAGGCCACACACGCTTGGTTCCCACTTATTTCTGCCCACTGAACAGACTTCCTAGTTGATGTCGCGCTTTTCTAAGTGGTGGTATAATGAACTGTCATAAGGCAAGAAACCGGTACATGACTGGGTACCACAGTAACAAGCTTTTCTTAGTTTCCCATTACCTGGCCCTTCTGTATCTTCACTGTCTGTTTGATTAAGAAATCTTCCTGAATAGTCATAAGAGAGTTCTTCTCCTGGCAAAATGTCTTTAGCTGCAAAAAGTGCTAACTTAGGTACCGTTGAGTAAATTCGAACAGGAATCATCAATAGGTTTGGCTCACAAGAATGATTAAGGAATCTTCCAATATTTCCTATATAGGTAGGGTCAACAAATGTTTCCATTATCTGCCCATTATAAATATGTTCCCTGATAGCTATAACGTAATTTGAGTCATATGTTGTTTGTAAGTTAATTCTTCTTTGTACTTCGGAGAATCCTAAAACTTCACCAGCATATTCACAGACAAACTTCCCCTTTGGTATAAGTTCCAAGGTGCGAAGCCCCCAGCCTTTTTTATCTGTCTTGAACACCTGGAGGCAGAACTGGAGACCCCTCTGGACCACTCTGTTTCTGCAGTGGTCACCACACTGGCACATGACATTGCACTCAAAAACAGGCTTGGCATACTTTGTTTCTGACCCTGTATCTCTAAGGCACAAATGGTCGTCGTAGGTCTCTTCATGGAGGAGACAGGAGCAAGTTCCAGGGAGACAGGGAGCTTTGACACAAATGCATCCAGGAAAGGTTATTTGAGACGGATCAATGTCTGCTCCAGGTCCAACTACATGATCAGGGGTATACTGTAAAAGATATAAATACTGTAAGTTAGCACGAGCATGTCATGTTCAAGCAGCTTTTTGCTAGGACATTTCCTAACTTTGACATATATAAAAACAGGAACAAACAAAACACAAAACATAAAAATATTGCCCCCCCAAAATCGCCCTTCAGTTTAAAAGATAATTAAGATTTGGATTTAAACTTCTGTGGTTTTATGGAATAAGGATAACAATAGAAATAATGTTTTTTTCTTTTATCAGAAAGTGAAAGCTTTAGAACTCCTTTTGTTTTCCTTTTAGCTTTGGATGTCAGAACAGCTGTACATGTATGTGCACCTCAGTATTTTATCCTTATATTTTGATCATTTTCATCTATATTTGATAATGTACATACATATTTTTATTGTAAGTTATTTTGATTCATTTTAGGAGATAAGGAAGTCCTAAGTGATAAATAAATCAATTATGGACAGAATTCCAAATAATGTCATTTATTTAATAATACTTAAATTTTTGATGTATCATATACACATAAAGAAATTTTGGGTTTGTTTGTTTTTGGTATGGGATATTGAACCTATGGTTACTCTAGGACATCTGAAACAACATCACCAGGGTCCCCCAACCCTTTAATAATTATGTATTCTCAGTCAGATCTCATGAAGTTGCCCAGGAAGGACTCAAAGTTGCAATCCTCCTGCCTCAGCCTCTGTAAGTACTGGAATTATAGGTGTGCACCACTATGTCCAGCTGAAATTTTGTTCTTATTAAATGAGAAAGGGGGTAATATGAAAATTTTTCTTGCTGCTTTGCAGGTACTTATATTTTAAAAACATTATATTTGAGGACTTCTGGGAAGATGGTGTAATGGTGAAAAGCAGAGAAACAGCCTCTCTGAGATTTGGTGTCCAGACACTGGAATATAGCAACAGGAGGAAGACAAGGAGTAAAGTGGGTTCCCAGGACCCAGGAAGGATCTGAAGTGAGAATTGGAGCCCATGGAGAAAGCAAAGAGAGAGATCTCAATGTAGAGGAAGGTGGCTCTGAGCCCTGACTCCATGCATGGAAAGGGTGATTTGAACCTGGATTGCACAGTGACTGGAGACCCCATAGATGTCCAGGGAGAAACAACAGTGGAATGGATGCAGCAGACTTAGGTGGACTGTGAGTTATTTGTATTCACATGCCCTCTAGAAAAGGGCAGTGACTGGCCGGTAGCCATCTTGGAGAGAGGCTAACAGTGACTGGACACCACACAGACCTCCATGGAGAAACAACAGTGGAACAGATGCAGTGGACTCAGAGCTCAGAATTCAGAAAAGTTGTGGGATGGCTCCATCTGGCAGCTCCCAGTGCCAGGGTGAAGTGGCACTGAGTTCAAATTAGCAGGAGGTCAATGAGCTGAATTCAATCCCGCAGGAGGCACACAGAGTGTTGTAGGCTGAGTAAATCAGGTTCCAGCCTCACAGCTAGAAACCAGCCTAAACTTCAGTGGAACTAAAACTCAGTCGCACAGGAAATATTACAAAGAATCAACAATCTTTAAAGATTTTGCAAAGCAAGAGAAACCACCAACAGAGTGAAGAGACAACTCACAGGGTGGGAAAAGTTTTTCCCCAGCTATTTCTGCAGCAAAGGACTATTATCTAAAAAATATAAAGAACTACACAAAAATCAGACTCCCTACATTTAAAGACCCAATCCAAAATGGGCATCTGAAATGAATAATCTTCTCAGATAAAGCAGTAGAAATGGCAAATAAATTTATAAATACATGTTCAATGTCACTGATCATTAGACAGCTGCAAATGAAAACAACTGAATGGCTATTAAAGTGAAATAAATCATACTTGCATGTGTAAACACTGTATTGTTTCCCTAGTGTAAGAACCTGAAAGAGTAAATAAAATCCAAAAGGTACAATAGATACTGTGAAAGGGAAATAAACTGCTCAAGAGGAAAGAACCGGGATGAAGCAAAGGAGGAAAGAAAGAAAGAAGGAAGGGAAAATATACATAATATATACAAGATAGCTAAGATAATTGTACTACTAATTTCTATTGGTTTGTTGAAAGGAACAGTTAATGCTTAAATTGTTTTTGACCAATTTTAGATGCTTATATCTGGTGATCTGAACAACTACTTTGAACAAAACAATATGCAATATAAGAACCACTGTTGAATTCCTAACTTTTTTTGGTTTTAAAAATATTTTTATTCTCTTAAAAAAAGAAAATATTAAAAAAAAGAAATCAACCAATAACACTGGCAGGGTTGTGGGGGAAAAGGAACCCTTCTCCACTATTGGTGGGAGTGCAGACTGGTGCAATCACTGTGGAAATCAGTATGGAGATTCCTCAAAATACTAAACCTAGAGGTTTCATTTGACCCAGCTATTTCTCTTCTACGTATCTTCCTGAAAGAATTAAAAGCATCATATCACAACAACAGATGCATACTCATGTTTATAATGGCATGGTTTGTAATAGCTAAATCTTAGAAACAGCCCATCAACCCAGGAAGGTGATATATCAAGCAAGTTCAATGAGAATAGCATTCACAAGAGACCAGAAGAGCAGGAAAGAACAAAGCTGTACTGAGCCGGCTGACGGACATCTCTAACCAGGAGCCAGAGAAGGTGTCTACCCTGATCTGGGTCTTACCTTTGCTTTAAGTACATTTCAGGTTTCCATAGTTACCATTACCTCATTTCTGGGAGTCTTACAAGACTGCACAAAGTTAACTTTCTCAGGAGCTGTCAGCCAGCCAGATTCCAAATGACCATTACAGTTTAACTTTTAGCCTACTTCCCAATTTTTCCTATTTATTCTGTTCCCATTTTATGATTTTGCTTTCCTTTAAATGGGTTGATAACTAACCAAAGAGAAGGATGAAGAGTGGGGGTAAACTACAGCTTAAGTGAACTTTAAGTGGCTTCTCTTAATATGGAGTTAAAAACAAAATAGAGTCTCTTCTGCCCTGTGAAATGGATAAAGAAGATGTGGTGTTTTTATACAATGGAGTACTACTCTGCCATAAAGTAGGATAAGCCTGAGACATTTCTAGCTAAATGGATGTACTTTGAGACCATAATCTTAGGTGAAATAAACTAGATACACATGTTTAAACACATTTTTCTCACTGGTGTAAGTAAGCACATATAAATAAGGGCCAAAATGTATAATAGATGTTTGGAAATGGGAAGAAAATGTTCAAATGAGAAGGGGAACAAGGCAGGGGTATGGGGAAAGGTAGGATGAGACAAGAAAAAATGGAAACAAAACTTTTGTAAATCAGAAGGGGAAGAAGGGTTGAAGGGAGGAGGAGAATGGGAAAAAAAGAAGCAAGATACATCATGTACAGGTACAAATTTCCTATGATGAATCTTATCATTGTATATATCTAAAATGTATCAATAAAAAACATTACATTTATATAATGGTATAGACAAATAAGAAAATGCCAAGATAGAATCTCTGTGTGAAGCCTGATCTTTACTTTCTTACTGCATCATGAAACTAGCTTTCTTGCCCTCCCCAATTCTTTAGAAAAGATCTCACTATGTAACCCAGGATGGGTCTGAACTCCTATGTAGCCCAGGGTGGCCTCAAACTTATGATCCTGAGTTTGTATCCCAGGTGTGAGGGTTACAGGCATGTACCACCAGGCTGAAGAAACATATTTTCAAACCCTGAAGATTAAAGCTTCTCTCCAGAGTTCAGCACATTTCTTTATGTATAGAGTAAGTTTTGCTCTCATAGGACTTAATTTGTTTACAGTCGTCCCTTGCTATATTGCAGTCCACTTATTGTGGCTTCAGTGTATCACGGGTTTTTAAAAAAATATATCTAATTCTGTATCATGCAGTTTTCACTATATTGCAGGATTTTGTGGTATATAGGTATTTATATAATATTTATGATTTTAATTATTTTTGCCTAAAAATTTACAATACAAAAATGTTAACTCAAACATATTAAAAGAATATTAAATTGAACTAAAATACAGTATGTACTGCATCAGCAGATGAATACCGTACTGTACTCAATGGCAATGCAGTACGCCACTGCTGCTTGTCCAAGTTTGCCAACTTGAGATTGTACACGGCACACTATTGGCTGATGGAATGGAAGGTGATCAACCACAGCACTGTGTTCTGTATCCTGGGTGGTGATTCGTTCACTGACCATAGCTTCAGTCTGTTTGCTCTCCTGCACTGCGCCCATATGTTCAGCATCACTCCTTGTCCACTTCACATTGAGTACCCATATGGAATTACATAATGTTGTTACAATTACATAGGTTTAAGAGTGTAGAAAGTGTTTAAGAGCATATGAAGTGTTTATAAGAGTGTGGGGAAGTTTTATAGGAGTGTGGAAAGGGTTTATAAACCCTTAAAATATACATAAACAATAAAATAAATATAACACTGCTACTTCACGGATTTTCACCTATTGCAGGGGTCTCTGGAACATAACTCCAATAGGTAAGGGATCACTGTATACTTATCTGCTTCCAAAAAGGCCTTAATGAGATTTACAAACAAGTAAAATAGATGAAAAATGAAGAGCAAAATATGTTATGGTTTGGATAAATGTATCCCAGAGGGCCATGTGCAAAAAAGGGTTGATCCCTGTATAGGAGCTATTGAGGAACGGTAGAACCTTTAGGATGTGGGGCCCAGTGAGAGCAAGTGTAATCACTAAGGTGATATTGCAGCAAGTGTAGTTACTTCGGGATATTGGGGTGATCATGACTCTTCACTACAGCCCACTCTATGCTGTAGGGTATATTTTTATTTTTTCTTCCTTTTACTTGGTCCAAGCTTGCTGAAGAGCTTATTTTTTCCTACCTTTCTGTTTTTCTCCTACCTTTAATAATTGTAAAACTGTGTCATCATTAAGAAAAGAAAAGTGTGTGTGTGTGTGTGTGGGGGATCACAGTCTTTTCCTGTCTCTCTTCTTTCTCAGCAGCATCCTCCATCATTTGCTTCCAATATTAGTGTTCTGCCTTTCCATGGG